AATTGATTATATCTTTTGTCATAAACAGGGTCTACAAATTTCAGTATTCTTGTCATAAACAGGGTACCCCTTTCAGAATCCCAATACCCAAATCCTGGTGGCGTACCCACACCCCCCGGGTTTTACTGTATTATTGTAATATCTTCTTTATTTGGATGAGACAAACACTAGTCAATCAGGTAACTCAATAGCCAATCAAGTAGCCAATCAATAAATAAAGAGTTTAATATTATTATTATTATCAGCGAAAGAATATGTTATTAAATTTGTATATGGTAAATCAGACCCGGGGGGCTGACAGCTGCTGGCTTATTCTGAAAGCCCTGTTCTGTAATGATTTCTAATTATTAAAACATAACTTTGTTCCCTTTTAGTGTGTGACATGAAATGTGGAGATGCTGGATGYGTGAAAGGACAGAATAACTTATGTTGTCATCCGCAATGCCTTGGGGGCTGCTCCAAGATAAACTCTCCTTTCCACTGTTATGCCTGTAAGAATTTGCGTTTGAATACTGGAAAATGTGTCAGTAAATGTCCACCTGAATTACTGGAGGTAATACAGCAATGAGAATAATAAAAATATAATTTTTGCAATCACTACTATTTGAACAAGAAATTACTGTTTTAAGACTTTATATTAGGAAGCACAGGGTTTGAGCAATGAGATCCTTGTGTTCACGCCCATGCGACTCGGGTTGGATTCCCAGATTTAGTGTTTTATGTGATTAGAGTTGCTTGTTGGTTCTGTTTTTGTCTTCAAGGGTTTTTATCAGGGTTTTCTGGTTTTCCTCCCTCTATGAAAATCAACTTCTAAATTCTAACTGGAATATGGAACAAGGGACATGGGTTTATTTGCTACTGGCTATTATGTGCTAATCTTGTAAAACTGTTTACTATAAGTTAACAGACAGAACTTACTTCCAAAAGGTGTTCATATTCAGTGGACATGGTATATAAATGAGGGGTTTTAAAGGGTAAATTCCAAAAAAATATGCTTTCTAACCTTCCATTGTCATAATAGGTTGATAATTTCAGGTGTATTCCTCCTCCTTGTCCAAAGCTTTATAACAAGCTTGATGGAAGCTGTGTTAAAGAATGTCCTGCAGGATATGCAAAAGAAGGGAATGTCTGTGAAAAGTGTCTTGAGCAACGGTGCCCAAGAGGTTTGTGTTCTTTAATATGAAATAGACCTTTTCCAAATTTCCTTGAGTGACCACGAAACAATAGCTCCAGCTTGAGGTTGGACCTGATGTGTAATTCTTAGACGTACCTTGACTCGGAACCATTGTCTTATGATCACTCAAGGGAACTTGGAAAAGGTCTATTACAGCCATTCTCAATGAAATGCGCCACTCTAGCAATTGTTTTTGTTGCAACAAAGAAGCTTTTGGTGGACATCAATCAAGGCGTTTCTATGACATTCTATAGCCATATGCCCTTATAGCTTTGTGTTTTCCGACAATGTTATGGGAACGCCTTGTGATTGACGTCCACCAAAACCTTCTTCATCAGGACAGAAACAATCGCTAGAATGTCGTGTGATTGAGAAGGTTTTGACCCCACATCCAAAATGGTCTATGAGTCATTATAAAATTACTGTTATGAATGTCGCRCTCTGATTGGTTTGGAGCGCGTGCTTTATGAGAACACATTGCATGCGCGTGCACTTTCCGTTGCTTTATTCCTATCTATTATTGTAATTTTTATTTTATAAAAGAAATAAAAAACTTGCTGGCTGTGCTGTGTGCAGTCATAAAGCACTTGGGGATTAGCAGAACACTCGAGAAGTGTCCAGAAGCACTCCGCTACGCGTCGTGCTTCTCCTAACACTTCTCTCGTGTTCTGCCAACCCCCTTTATGACAGCACGTGCGCGCGTTTTCCATTTCTTCAATAGCCCATGAGGCTGGGCTTGAAGATCATGAGGGAGAGTGGTCTAATTGTTTTAGTATAAACCTACTAATTGGTTAAATATAGATGCAAACAATTTGAAATTGGTTTGAAATAATTATATTTTTGCACTGTTTTGGTTACAATAACCGGCACTTTTCACTACTAATGGTCTATCACTAATAGACCACTAGTAGCTTAGCCAATCAGAGTGCAGGATTTCGATAGACCATTAGTAGGTTTATACTAATGCCTGTTATTCATATACTTTTATTTGATTACAGTTTGTAGTGTGAAACAATCAGCAATAAATAGTGATGAAGGAAAACCAATAATTGACTCCCTGAATTCATTGAGAGAATACAAAGGCTGTACAGAAATAGATGGAACTCTCGAAATCAGAATAAGAGGAGGTGGTGGTAAGTAGTGGGGAAAAACTTACAACAACACTGAATTAATTGAATATTTAATTACAAGTATTAAGTATTACAAGTATTATTTTTCTTGGCTATTGTGATCAATCTGCACAATATGGTAAGGTGTCGCTAAGTAGTTGGTAAGTGGTTGGTAAGTGACACCTTACTGACACCTTCCCCTACAGTGTGTATTGATTACAATAGCCATTTTTCTTTTTACAATTTTCTTGCAGCAACAATCTACAGGGATCTAGAAGAAAATCTTGGCATGATAGAAAAAGTTAAGGGATATGTCTTGATTCGACAGTCGTTGTCTTTGGTGTCTTTAAAGTTTCTTAAAAACTTAAAGATTATTGAACCTAGAAAGACGTTCAGCATTACAGAGAAGAAAATGGTTCCCTTTTTGTATAATAACAGGTTAGTTTACACACAATCTTCGGTTTTCAGTAGATGACTTTGTTAGTAAACAGGGAAGGCTACCCTCTCTATTTACACAGTCCCTGTACATTGCTCATGATGCATTCTAGAGATTGAACTGTCAGCAATTTTAGTTTAAACAGTTTAAAAGAGATGTCTTATATACTTTTCCCTTGGTCTGACATACAATTCTATATATCAACAGATATGCATTGACAATCATGGAGAACCCAAAACTGGAAGCCATGTGGGATTACTTTCCTAATTTTACTATTAAACATGGAGGTTTATTGGTGCGCATGAATCCTAGGCTTTGTACAAATAAAATTGAACCTTTGATTGATGTCTTGAAATGGAACAACTCAAGTAATGGACAAAATATTGATGTATCTCAGACAACTAATGGCAATGATGTAGCTTGTGAGTATGATATAGTTCACTCATATGCATTATTAAACCAATACAACAACAACTTATGTTATATTTTTATTTTTAGGTAGTTGCTTGATCCCCCAACCCCCCCACACCACCCCCACACCACCCCCTGGTATTTATTGGTACAATTTGACAGAGTTAAAAATGATGTTGGGGTTCATACCTATTTTATATTTCAAATTGTAATCTCTGTAATGGCTGTAACGGCAGTTCTGTGTCGTCATTGGTTTCAGGTGAAGTAGAGACAATAAACATGACAGTGAGAGAGATCATAAAGCCTTCATTCATGCAGCGATGCTCACATATTTGCATAGAAGTAAAATGGAATGAAGTGAGAATTGATGAAGATTATCGTAATGTGCTGTTTTACACCATATCCTATAGAGAAGCGTAAGTCTATGCCAAATATTATACAACAAGTATTCAGTATTATATTTTAAATATTATGGAAAGCATAATTGATCTACCTCTCACCAATGCTAGGTTTGTGGCAGGAGGCCCACATTCGAGTCCCCTCACCACCGAAGAGTTTGTTTGATGTGTTGTTCTCTCATATGCTAGAAGGGTTTTTCTCAGGTTTTCCTTGGCTCCCTTCATAACAATTAGTTTAGTTGTTTGTGAGTTGAGTGTGAGTTGAGTTGTTATGTGAGTTGAGTGTTGTGTGTATAAGATGTACATTGAATGTAGTGGTAGTTTGTATGAACGATGAAGTGTCCCCAATTAGTAAAAGGTGCTAGAATGACTAAAGCCTCTTAAAAAAAAAGATTTATTGTAAATTTATGATAAGCATAAATCTTGGGAAGCACACATGGACTGTAGCAGTGAGAGCTCAAGGCTACCCAGGTCCAATTCCCGGACTTGTTGTCATATGACTTGTGTGTAGAAGTTCTTGTTGGTACTTTCCTGTGCTTCAAAGGTTTTTGTCCAGGTTCTCTTCCAGGTTTTTCCTCCCTGTGCAAAAATTAACTTCTTAATTCCAATTGGAATTCAGTGGATGAAAAGCCTTTTCCTGTTGAAGCACTTTTAATTCCCATTTATCATATGACCGTGAATCTTAGAGCCTGGACACTAGCAAATCGAGCAATCTGATTGGATAGATCGCATTGCGGACTGGTCTAGATTCTCCTGTATTAACCGGTCCGATCGCATATTAATCTTACGGCAAAAACATTTTGTCCTTTTCAATGAAAAGTGGTCATATAATAAAACTCTTATCAACCGAGCTTGGTCGGTCTGTACGGGATAATCTTAACCTCGGTCGGATACAGACCTCGGTCAAGATTATCCCGTACAGACCTCCCGCTCAGTTAATAAGATCTAATTATTGATTTGTCTTATTGATTTATTGATTTCGTATTTTATCTATAAAGATAATCATGGTACTTTTTATAACTGCAGGCCAAACACAGAGATTACTCAATTTGATGATGTTGGTGCTTGTAGCAACCAAGATGTGTAAGCTCATTCATATTTGTTTCCTGTCATTTCAATTAGTCAAGATAACTGCAAATTATGATGCAAAGCTGTTTTGCTCCAAAGAAAATCTGTTGGTTTGCTTCCCTGAAATGTTAGAAAATAAGTTAGCTTGTTAAGCCTGGTTCACACGAGCAACGCAAACGCAAGCACAAACGCAAACGCAAGAAAACTACGTGTGAACTACAGTAACACAAACGCAAACGCAAGGAATGGAAAATTTTCCATTTTCTTGTGCTTGCGTTTGCGTTTGCGTTTTTAACGTGTGAACCGGAGAAAACGCAAGCACAAACGCAAGACGTGGTTCACACGAGCAACGCAAACGCAAATACAAGGAAAACATGTGTGAACTATAAACAATCACCACTGCACATGCGTATCTTAATTTACTTGCATTTGCGTTGTACCTGTGAACATTGCTTGCATTTGTGTTTGCGTTGCTCATGTGAACCAGGCTTTAATTCTCATAGACAAAATGGCGAAATAAAATAGCCAAAACAGCTTTGGCATTGGCATACRGAACCTTTTTGCTTGCTTGATTGCCACTAACAAAATAATCACAATGTTTTGCTTAAACTATCCATCAATTGCTTATTATCTTCTTGTGCATAAAAAATATGCTGAGATGTAGCCCAGTACTTCATTATAGATGTAGGCTTGTACTTCATTATAAATGTAGGTCTGTACTTCATTATTTTACAGGATAAACAAATAATAACTAAAATCAAACACCTTCACTTTTTTCTTATTGATAAATTTAGGTGGAAAAGAGTTGATGTCTCTGTCAGAGCCCAAGAAATGTAAGTATCCAGGGTTTTCTAGTTGGTGAAGCTGGTGTTTTGAATATTAAATATGGTATATTATTGTTCCAGGATAAATGCAAGTGGCAACAGCTATGGTTCATTTCGAGACCACAGTAGAGTTATTAGTACCCTGAAGCCATATACACTCTATGCTTTTTATGTGGAGGTTGTAACGCTGAATAAGAAAGGAGCAAGAAGCAGCCTAAAGTTCCTGAAAACCCGGGAAATGGGTAAGATTGGTATTAAAAGCATTCATCCAGGAATATGAAAAAGGGGGGTTGGAAAAATTTGGTTTTATTAAGACGAATCTCAATTCTGAACATGAAAAATAAGATCAATATATGAGGTTTGCAGGTATTCTCCCAAAGTTACTCTAACAAGGCAATATTGCTATTAAAGCAATGATGTTTTGCATATTTCATTTCTCATTTTTGTTTTAAGGAGTGTACTTTATTAGAATGGTTGGAAAACTTATGTACAAGTCAATATCGTGTGGTGTGGGGTGAGGAATTCTTTTTCTTCACTAGGTTTCATTCCTTTGAGCACTAAAATGGTTGATTCTCTCTAGAGAAGGTTACGCATATCCTTCACAATGGTTACAAAACTAGGTTTGGAAACTCTACTGAAGAAAGTGCCTGCTCTTTCATTAAGCTGCTGCCACTTAGGAATGTGGGTACAAACACATCCTACTACCTCATGGTCAACTTCGTTAAAATCATGTGACATCATTGTTGTATTTCATTTGATGTTTGACAATATATTATGACAGCCAATTAACACCAATCACAAATAGTATGGGTTAGCAAATTAGCAAACTGAATACAGCTGTACAGTACAGTTTCATCCTGAGGACTGATACAAAGATATGGTTTCTGGAAAGGAGGTTTCCTGCATTCTGTGGATATTTAGGACTTAAAAAAGTATTTGAAATATTTCCATACTTAATGAGGGGGCCCATGTTGTTTGGTTCAGAAATAACGTTTAAAACCACAGGAAAAGTAAGGTTATAGTATAGATGTTACCGGACTGATGATGTGTAGAAAGTAGTATGGGGTTTGAATAAACAATATGGGCAACTAGCTAGTGATTACATCCACTGATGACAAAAGACTTTTCCCATTAATAGCAAGCAAAGTTCTTCCACTAGGTTTTGATGTATCGTACAAAAATCAATACTGTTCATTGTATTACAGTTCCTTCAGCTGTTGTTGGTTTAGAAGTCAGTTACTTGGATCCTCACTCACTTCTTGTCAAATGGCAGCCACCTCTCTTCCCTAATGGTAACATAACCAAGTATGTGATTAAGTATCAAGAGAGTCAATACTCTGTGTGGGAACAAGGAAACATTGATTGGTGTATCAGGCAGGCATTACCAAGTAGGAGAGTTAGAGTTGAAGATAACAAGAAAGATGAAAACAATGAAGGTATGTTGGTTGAGAAGTGATCTGAAAAACTTAAACATTCATAGTTGGGCGTAGTATCCAAATCCAATCCAATCCTTTATTTGTTAAAGCAGGTTAGGTTTACAAAATTTTAAAACAAATATTGCATCGACAGCCAACGGCTGATGTGGACCTGCTATATATATATATATATATATAACAATATGATAAAATATAATAACCACTACTATAATCTAAAGAATTTRAAATGTAAAGGACTGGTGTAAGATTAAATTAATCATAATTAAAATCTGAACATACACCTACTTGGAAGAATGCCACCACAGGAAGAAAGGGGACACAAGTAATCCAGGCCACCATCCCCCCATGACAGAGCCCCCACAAGCAGGTGTACATATTATATGTAAATTAAATAAATAATAAATAAATAAAATACTAAAATAAACTTAATAATAGGCTTAATAATAAATAAAATCATCCTTCTTATTTGAAACAACAACAGCTTCTTTGGAGAAGTCATGTGTAACACCTGCTACTCAAATATGACAAATGTATTTTCATCTTGATATTTGAACAGGAAAATGTAACATCACTTGTGACTGTAACAAAGAGAAAGAAGTTGTTCGACCAGAAAAACAAGCTGCTATTTTTGCTAAGGAATTCCAAGATGCATTATTCAGGACGATCTTTACCAAGGATAAAGATGACAATCCCTCACCCACAACCAACAGGACTACGATCATACCAACCACAGAAATGTTATTACTGAATAGAACAAATTGTTCAAGGGAACAACAGGTTTGTAAATCACCTGTCTTAAAAATACTTGTATTTTGTCCTTAACTAGTTGTGCACCCTGTTATAGGATGCTCTTGTTTGATATAATAAAACGCTGTTTAATTATCTTTTCAAGTTTGAACCATCTCTGAACTTTGCTAAAATATATAGGAATAAATTGGTAAATATGTTTTGTCTGGTTTCTCTAATCATTACAGGAAAGTGGTCTGTGTGGTACTTCAACATCTCCTACTTCTAGTGCAAACACAGCATCTGGTGTATCAACCAGTTCACTGGTTTCACCCACTGGTAATCTAACCACCACTGATGCTGGAGGCAGTGGTGAGGTAACCCCTACATTTGTTACTCCTACTACAGCTATACCAATATTGACAGAAGTGGTGGATGGATCCAAGGCAGAGCTACGTTTAACTGGACTGAGGCATTTTACAGATTACACCATCATGGTATTAATGAGACCACTGATGTTGTTGACCAATTATCTAAATATTGCAACTAATAGAATCATGATATCTGTACTTTATCAGGTCTGTGCTTGTACGAAGGTACGATGTGCACAAGACACTGCTTGTTCAAGTACTAAGGGTCGTACTGGCAGGAAAGGTATGTATTGTTTAATAGGCTTTATCCATGGGGGTAAGGATTCTAACTGGGTTTTTTCCTTGTCATTTCAGCTTTTGCAGATAATCTCGGGGGACCAGCAACAGTGATAGTTCAAAATAACACAAAAAGGGTAATCAACTGGAATATAAGTTTCAAGTGTATTTGTAACCTGATTGTCTCAATCAATTATTATTACAGTAGTTAAAATGAGTTGATGTGAATAAACTTTGATTGTTTAATTGTTGTTTGTTTGTCTCATGTTTCTTTCCTGGTCATCGTTTCAGTACAACATATCATGGATTGCACCCAAGGACCCTAACTCTGTGGTGCTGAAGTATGACATTGAAATATTCCAAGTAAGTAGAGTAGTTTACTGTCTGTCATTGCAGTAATTTCTCTGCTTTCCCTCTCATTTTTAAAGAATTCCATCTCTTTTGTCTGTATAGCCATCCCGAGAAAAACCAGAAGTAGCTTGTCAGCTTGCAAAACAACCAACATGGATTGAAAGAGTTGGTATTGTGGGTAACTACAGTGCACGTATAAGGGCTATAACACCTGCTGGCAATGGATCATGGAGTAATACTGTGTATTTTGCTATTTCTGAGGAAACGAAAGAAAGTGAGTTCAGTCTTTGATCGTTACAAGTACTAAAAGAGTTCTTAAAAATATATTACTAGCTCAGCAAAGTAACTTTCTTGATCAATTTTCTTTCCTTTTTCAGTTAATAAAAATGCATTAGTAGAGAAGGGTACAAATGTTGGAGTGATAATAGGAGCAAGCTTAGCTGCCTGTAGTTTTATAATTCTAGCGTGTGGAGTTGTAATTTGGTACATTACACGGAAAAGGTAAATACTATCCATGGCAGAAGTCAAAAGTACTTAATCATACATCATCATCAATTTGTTCATCTCTTGATTTCATTTAGATATAAGGCTAAGCAAACCCATACTGTACTTTATGCGTCAGTCAACCCAGAATATTTGAATTCTACTGATGGTAAGTACCACATACTATCCTTGACTACATGTTTTTATCAGTAAGAAAGCTTTAAGACTGTGCTGCTCTGCACATAATATTGTAAAGGTAATCATTAAGAGCTCGACTGAAATATGAAACAGAAATTGATTATTAGGTTGTTTAATGTCAGTGCATGTGTGTGCAAAGCAGAATACATATTGTAGAGCTGTGTGTGGAAGAAAGTAAATAGAAACCAACAGAAGTCTACCAAAGTCTGGAGTACAGCCTGTAACAATATTACTTGTCATCAATGCTCTTGCCTTGTTCTCGCATTGGCCATTTCCAAGAGACAAAAATAAAAGAAGACACGGTGGCTATATTGAATGATAGTATGCGCATAGTAAGTACCTCACTCATTTTTGTACTTTATATTTTTTAGTGTATATCGCTGATGAATGGGAAGTTCCTCGAGATAAAATAAAATTGATCAGAGAGCTCGGTCAAGGGTCGTTTGGGATGGTGTTCGAAGGAGAAGCATTGGATATTGTGAAAGACAAACCTAAGTGTCGAGTAGCAGTTAAGGTATATAGATATTCTACATCAATCAAAATGATAATTATTATAACTCACTGTTGCTGTTTTGTAACACATTCAGACTGTTAGTGAAAATGCTTCAGTAAGAGACAGGATCGAGTTTCTACAGGAAGCTTCCATCATGAAGTAAGTAATTCTATGTTGTTATATAGTGATTCTAGATTTGAATGCGGCTAGGACTGATTGGCATGATCTGATTGATTGTTAGGGCATTTCATTGCCATCACGTGGTTGAGTTACTTGGTGTTGTGTCTGATGGACAACCAACTCTGGTCATCATGGAACTTATGCATAATGGTGACCTAAAAAACCACTTACGATCAAGAAGACCAGAGGTATGTTAAACTGATCTATATTAACACAAAAAATTCTATAGACGTAAAGTCCAACCATCATCTCTGTGTTTTGTAGGAAGGTGGTGAACTGCCTCCACCAACGCTGCCAGAAATGTTACAAATGGCAGGAGAAATAGCAGATGGGATGGCTTATCTAGCTTCACGAAAGTTTGTGCACAGGTAGGTTTGATATCATTTATTGGTCATTAATTATTTTTACTATAACATTGTGCATTGATATAAATATGTAAATGTTTAAACCCAGGGATCTTGCTGCTCGCAACTGCATGGTAAACGAAAACCTGACGGTTAAGATTGGAGGTAAAGAATACATGCATGTTTGTTTATGTCAAACTACAGTAGTAGTTGGCTAATTCAATATGAAATAACCATAACCTATATTATTTTACAATTCAATATGGTTTTTTTTCTCTTCAAGATTTTGGAATGACCCGTGATATCTACGAGACAGACTATTACAGGAAAGGAGGCAAAGGTTAGTATTGTTTTGTTGTGATAACATTAGGTTTTTTTTCAATATAAACATGACATTATTAATTTTCTTGCAGGCTTATTACCTGTACGTTGGATGGCTCCTGAATCCCTTAAGGATGGTATTTTCTCGTCTCCATCAGATGTCTGGTATGAATCACAAATCAAAAATTACATCATTAGCTATATCTTATGTTTTTGTAATTTTTATTTCATATCTATTTTTGGCAGGTCATATGGTGTAGTGTTGTGGGAGATGGCAACTCTTGCTTCCCAACCCTACCCCGGCAAGTCCAATGAAGAAGTTTTGAAATTTGTTGTTGATGGTGGTGTAATGGATAAACCAATGGATGCTCCCAATGAATTGTAAGTATAAATCTTTAGTCTCTTTTATCGTCATATGGATATATAAATATATTCTGAATTGTATATATATAGTATATTCCTCCATATTCTTAATTGTATACATGTATATAGTATATTTAGCTGGGTCTCCCTGATTAGCAAGGCACATGTGCCAAGCTAGAAGCTTGAGACTGGAATAAAGTTAATAATGATAATAATAATACTAATAATAATAATAATAATTTTTTTCAATCTTTTTTTTAATAGAAATAATAATAATAATAATATCCACTAAATTAATCTTGAATATTGGCTTACGA